CATGTTGTTTTTATTTTGTTGTTTTTGCTCATTTATATTTTCCAGCTGTATAAAATGCATATATGTTGTTTATGTAATACTAAGAGATTTTTAGGCTGAGCACAATGGCTCCTGTCTGTAATCCCAGCACTTTGGGAGGGAGAGGCAGGAGGATCCAGGCACTTTGGGATGGAGAGGGAGGAGAATCACTTGAGGCCATGAGTGCAAGACCAGTCTGGGGAATATAGCAAGACCTCATCTCTAACAACGACAACAAAAACAATTTAAATTGGCTGGGCATGGTCTTATGTACCTGTACTTCTACCTATGCAGGAGGCTGAAGTGGGAGAATAGCTTGAGCACAGGAATTCAAGGCTTCCCGGCTTCAGTGAACTAAGATTGTGCCACCACTCCTGCCTAGGTGACAGTGAGACTGGGTCTTAAAAAAAAAAAAAATTATAAATAAAATGTTGGAGGAGGGCTAGAATGTCTTGATTGATTGAAAAATAGAACTTAATGATGGTGTTAAGACCAAAGATGGTCAAAAAAAGAAGACCAAAATTAATTCTATTACTACCCCCCATGACACTTCTCACCAAAGACAAACATCAGAAATCTCCCCTTCAGATTATTTTGTTAAGGACGTTATGCAATTCGGGTTATTATTGTTACAGGATATTGCATGGTATATCACATTAAGAGATGTTTTAACTTTGAAATCATTTTGAAAGTTTCCTCCCATTTAGAACAGGTCTGGGACAGGTTAGCCTACACCCTGGTGTCCAGCTGAACTTTATGAGGTCAACACACTTTTCTAAATTTCTGCAGGCCAGTACATGTTCTAGTTCAGCTCTGTCATTGAGAACCTTAAGGAATTACAACTAAACATGAGAAAAGTTCTAGTGCAACGTCCCTTATGAGCCATCCATGTGAATGAGAAGAATAAATGTTGGATGAATGATTTTCACTTAGATAGATTCACTTCTGGTTGTTATCTGAAGGTTAGTGAGTAAGAGGTAGAGGTGGGCAACCCAGAATGTAGTCTGTAGGGGCATAGATCACAATCTGCCCTTTGCCTTGTCATGCTTAATAATTTTACATAATTATTTAAATAAAGATATAGGCAATGCTTATTAAAATTGAAAAATGACAGCAACATATTCTATTTGAGGATCTAAAAAGATTTTTTCCCATCAGAAAAATGGCTAAATTAAAATATAAAAAATTACAATAATTGCTAAAACTCATATACAGTTAGTGTACACCAGAATCCTTTCTGGGTACTTTACAGAGTATTACTTTGTATAACCCTCACTATAACCTTATGGGGTAGATGTGTCTCACTCATATCAACTACCATTAGAGATTATGTAGCATAGAGGTATATGTTGTAGAAACTTGAATCAACCTGCCTAAGTAAAAACCTAGCACTGGCTGGGCACAGTGGCTCCCGCCTGTAATCCCAGCACTTTGGGAGGCAGAGGTGGGCAGATCACGAGGTCAAGAGATAAGACCACCCTGGCCAACATGGTGAAACCCTGTCTCTACCAAAATTACAAAAATTAGCTGGGCGTGGTGGCTACACATGATGACATATATATCTCCCAGCTACTCAGGAGGCTGAGGCAAGAGAATCGCTTGAACCCAGGAGACACAGGTTGCAGTGTGCTGAGATCACGCCACTGCACTCCAGCCTGGTGACAGAGCAAGACTCCATCTCAAAAAGAAAAACAACCACCAAAACAACCCTAGCACTGCAGCAAAACAATGCTCTGTATGAACTTGAGAAAATTATGTTCTCTCTGCACATCTCAGTGTCCTCATCTGTAAAAAGCAGGATTATACAGTTCATTCAACAAATACGTATGTTTTTAAATCTTGGATGCTGTGTTGCCCAGGCTGGTCTTGAACTCCTAGCCTGAAGCAATCCTCCTGCTTCAGCCTCCCAAGGAGCTGGCATTACAGTCATGAGCTACCATGCCTGACTCAACAAACATTTATCAAATATCTACTACATGGGTATCACTTAAACCCTACTTTCAAGGAATTCACTTTCTGTGGATGGGAAATGTGTTCACCTAAATGAAAGTCATTCTTCAGGGCTATACACTTCATTCTTACATACAAAAAGTGTAAGCTGCTGGTTTCAGATAAATATTCTTTACCATCTTGAGAAAATATTTTCTATTCCTAGTTTACTAAATTTTAAAATATAGAAATAAGTGTTTAAATATCTTAAGTATAATTTAAGTACATATTACAATCATTATTTTTCTTTCTTTGACCTTTCTGTATGCTGAATTATATGGTAACACATTTTCTTATACTAAAATATCTTGCATTTTTGAAACAATACTAATTAACCACAGCTTACTATCCTCTTAATATGTTGGATTCCAGTTGTACACAGTATATCAAAGATTATTTTTCATTTATGTTTATAAGTAAAACTAACCTTTCAAACTAATCTTTTCAACAAGCTCTTAAAATCTATCAGCTTGTTGCTTGCCAATATAATTAACTGAGCAATGAGTAATTGATTCTACCAAAACTGATCAGGAGAAAGAAGGTAAAACCACCAGTATAATTTATTATTATTTTTTATATTTATTTATTTATTTTTTAATTGTATTTTAGGTTTTGGGGTACATGTGAAGAACATGCAAGATTTTTGCATAGGTACACACATGGCAGTGTGATTCGCTGCCTTCCTCCCCATCACCTATATCTGGCATTTCTCCCCACGCTATCTCTCCCCAACTTCCCACCCCCCACCCTGCTGTCCTTCCCCTATTTCGCCTTGACAGACCCCAGTGTGTGATGCATAAATTATAAATGAGAAATCGAAGCATACATTGCAAAACAAATGGTGACACTTTTAAGTGAAATTTTTAAAATTAAATCATTAGCATAACTGAAAAATTAGATGTTTCTACTCTCTATCCATTTTTAAAAATTTTTCTCAACTGCTCTTAAAAATCAGTAAGAGGTGGCTGAGTGCAGTGGCTCATGTTTATAATCCCAGCACTTTGGGCAGCCAAGGAGAAAGGACTGCTTAAGGCCAGAAGTTCCAGACCAGCCTGGGTAACACAGTGAGACTCTATCTCTACAAAAAGTAAAAATAAAAATCAGCTGTGCATGGTGGTACACGGCTGTAGTCCCAGCTACTCAGGAGGCCAAGGCAGGAGGACCACTTAAGCCCAGGAGTTTGAGGTTACAGTGAACTATAATTGCACCACTGTACTCCAGCATGGGCAATGGAGCAAGACAATCCCTTAAAAATAAAAAAGAATCAGTAAGAGAGGTTTTTGTTATACTTTTTTTAAAGCACTATTTTTAGTTTTTCTCATAATAAAGTACATTGAGGATGCCAATTTGCAGATTAACTAGTTATAAGTATTATAAGAAATGTTTGCTAATTTTGGCTTTCTAAAGAAAATTTTAGTTTTGCTTTGAAATTTTGACAAATGAATCAGAGAATTTATATGTGCCTTTAGCTATGACCAGATGTGTTAATTTGATGCTTGTTATCTTCTGAAAGATTTTCCATTTTTGAAGAGTTCAAATTCCATAGGCAAATTTATGAGCATAAGAGTTATATTCTTAAGAATTACTGAACTCTTTTCCCAGTCTCCTGTTTTATGAAGTGTTAAAGTTAATATAAATTGTTTTCAAAGATGTTTCTTCTACAAAAAAAGACATTCAAAGTGGAATTTTTAAAAACTGAAATATAACATTCTCCTGCAATTTAACCTCATATTTATTTTATTAAAGAAAAAAACATAAATTTGTGTGGAATTTTCCTAAGTTCAAAACAAGGGCAGAATTTACTAAGCCATTCCTAATATGTTCTCCTCCAGCAAACTTTGTGCTCAGTTTTTCTGAAAACTATCATTTTCAATGTCAATTTTCTTGCATTTCTATGAAACCCGCACTTAGCAAGAGATTTACTTATTGACTTGTAGTTACCCAGACTTGCAAGAACTTTCCTACAAAGAATTGAAGGTAGTGTTGTGTTGGGTAGGAGTAGGCTGTACCTCTTCCAAAGTGATTCACAAAGTTAAAAAAATCACTTAAGAAGGATAAAGAAATAAAAAGTGATGTTCTCTGTGAAGAAATAATTGCTTTTGTCCCCAGAGTACTAACAGCATAGGTCAGCTTTCTTTAGAAAGTTTTCAAAAGGGCTCCTCAACTCTGAAGTCAGTAACAGAATTGAATGCTGCCAACTGCACCCTTGAAGCTAAGCAGCAATGACACAAACCATCATGGTATAGAAATGGTCAAATACATTAACTTAATAATAGGTCAATGGACCCCCCTCTAAAAATGTGATTATATTATGCCAGCTCTTGAATAAATGTTAGATCTTACACAACCGGGTTGCTATTACATGTTTCCCCCTCAAAGACCTTTTGAAGTATTCAAAGCAAAAGATGAGAGAAGACGTGTGCTGCCCCAAATCACAAAAGTGTTTTGTTAAAATAAACCAGCTTTGTGCCCTCAAAAACCTCTATTTTTTTAATTGAAAGCAGTGTCCACTGGTTGCCAAAGGGCCTATCAAAACAAAATATTCAAGTCTGAGGAACACCAATAGGCAGAAATAGGCAAGGTAATTCCAGTCTTACATGCTGGTTTCAAAAGCAAAAAAGCCTACAGCTCCAGTCAATGCTAGATTATCCTCATGTCCAGATTTTCAGCTACCAAATTAACGAGGCCTATATAGAAATAGTACATTTTCAGAAGAAAATGCTTATGCTAATGCTTTCAGTAAAAAGGAAAATGCAAAATTTTATATCTTTGCCCCAATAATATGTACGGAGGCAAGAAATGTACACAGACAAGGACTAAAAAGGTACATAGACAAGCCAAAAGGCTGACTTCTTAGAAAAGCATTGCTGTGGATGATTGTTTCTTCTTTTATTTAAAGCTTGATTAAAGTATTTTATGATTTGTTTTTAAATTAAGAGTCAGAGATAGAGTTCATAAATTGGCAGGCCACAGGCCAAATCTGGTCCATAACTACTTGGAACGAAAGTCATTAACATTTAACATTTAGGAGATTATCACCTGAATATCTGAATTTGTAGCTTCTCAATTAGCAATAATCGCACCTCGCCTAAACTTCATTGGCTACGATACTGCCACTGCACAAAGCTGAATTTGTAGCTTCTCAAGAAAATAGGCAACTGTGGAAAAACTGGGTCCATCGTCCCACGTAAGCTCAAACAGCTTGAGCTGTGAGGGGACCAGCTGGTCTTTAAGAATTGGGTGTGGTTGCCATACTCACATAAATTCCTGCCTGTGGACCCCAGCATGTGGGAACACTGGTGAAGACAGCTGGATTCGGAGAGTTACTGTGACTCCATTTACATTTATGAAATTTCTCCCTTCTTTTTACATCTTTTTTTTTTTTTCTTTTTAAACCTTTACCTTTTGGATACATCCTTACCTTTTGGATACCTCTTCAGTGATTAAATTAGAAAATGTCTGTATCCACTTTCAGAAGTTACATAACCTGTGATTCTACATAGTATAATACAAATTTGGCAGTGAACTCACTAAACAGAGGCAGCCAATCCTGATACTACTACTATCAATAATAATATAATAGAAACACTTAGGTGACTGAGTTTTCAAATTAGTCAACTTTACTAAGCAAATAACATGTTTCAAAAATTAAATTTAGAATTAGAACATCTCAGTATTCCATTCACAAAGATTCTCATGGAAACAAAAACCAAAATAAGATAATAAGAGACTGGATATATATTTAATTTATATTTGGTTCTCCCTGCCTTTTTTAAGCCTAAGCTAATGGATATGTTTGTGTTCGTTAGGCAAGACACATGGTGCTAAATTAGCCCATTCAAAGAAGGATGATACATATTTATCATTTCTAGGGTTCAAGGTCATTGCTATGCCACTAAAAATAGCAAGGTACCATAAATGTAAACGTAAAATGTCCGAGTATACATGCAGATACGTGCACATATCACAGTATTCTAACAGTGTTGTTGTGCTGTTACCCATCAAGGTCTTTCAAAGGGACAATTCTTACCTTGTTATTGGCCCCAGATCGCCTGAGTCTTGGCTTCCTGCTTCACTGGGAGTGCTCACTGATTTCGAGGAGGGAGACATAGGGGTTGGGACTAAATAATGAAAATAACAGGTATCCCATGTTAAAAAATGCAGCGGCTGCACTGGTGAAGAGCAGTGTCAGACAAATCAAAACAAATGGTCCCAAATTAAAGTGGTTGTATGGCCAGGAGATATTGAGATGGGATAAGGAAAAAAAAGGAAAGAAGAGGAAGAAAGTCCAGTGAATTGTTTATATTTTGGAAATAAAAATTTGAAATGATTTAGACAGAATTAACATAGGGACTCTGAGGCCATGTCCACCCTAACAAAGTAAAATGGAGACTCGAAATAGCTATCCAGATAATTCAAGTCAAATATCTCACTAGCATGAACCATCCAGATAATTTTGATTCTTCACATTATTTTGTTAGTATAGATGTGACCTATTAAAAATAAAATAGGGTGTCTATAAAACTTTAAAAGGTTATAAAATAAGTGATTCTCAATAATTTTAAATGGTCAAGGACAGTCAGAAAAATCTGTTGTATGTCTACATTTAGAGGGAAATGTACTCTGTGGAACATAAGCTGCATTTGCCATGAGAGCCTAAGTGACAGAGAGAGAAAGGGTAAATGTTGAACCTGGTTATTAAAAGTCTTTTTCAAAACAAAGAAAAATGCCAGTCTGCCTTATTTTTGAATTTAATTAATAGTTTCATTCCATTGTACTGTTTACTGTCTTTGGGACTTGTTTTCCCTTGTCTCTAGCAGCTCTAGAAGACACTGCCATGTGCGCAGAAGTAAACCGCTTTACTTCTGAGACAGGAGACGAGTTCAAAGATCAAGGTCAGCACAAGCTGAAAATCTGAGAGCAAGCATAATAAAAGAAAAAAAGCTAAAGCCAATGCAATTTTTCACCCTTCCTTCAGATACAAGCCAAATGTCCTTCAGATAGAAGCTATACCAAATAGCCAAGATGGCTCCAGGCCAGACAATTCAATAGGTTCTTAATATCACATACGCCAAAGAAGCCATATGGGGAAAAAGAAACTTCAGTACGTAAGTGTAGATTCCCATTTGGTTTCAATCATGTGCAATTTCCTTTTATTTATTTAATACGGTAAAGGGCTTAACTATTTTGCCCAAATCCTATAATACAATGGCAGATCTGTCAAGAAGCTAGGAATTTTCATGTGGTTCCTCAATTAATTCACTGATTACCCTCTGAATAAGCTCAGAGGGTAAGTCGGAGAGATGGCTGAAAAATGAAAACGGGGTCCTTGCCAGGGTCCCTTGGCAGCAATGCAGGGATAGTGCAAAAGTTGGTCATGGTTTAGAGACGTTGATCTGTTTTGTTCTTAAAGTTTAATTACTGGCTTTACGTAGGGTAGGGGACACTAGGACATACTACTATTGTGTTTAACCAGTGTTCACATTGCAACAGAATTTCAAAGGCTATTTTGAGGCACAAATATAATTAACTGTAATGTGTCTAATTTATATCAGATGTCAACCAAGTAGAAAAAAAGTATACTAGCTCCTAAGTAGAAAAGAAGATCCACCAGTCAAATATAATATCCCCTAGGTTAATTCTTCCACAACATAAAGAAATTAAACAAAAGAATATAATCTTATTGGGGCTTATTACAGCATTGTTGAACATATGATTTTACCTATTGCGAATTGAGATTGAGTATAAAATGCTTTTTAATAATGTTTTAGTTTTGTATGTATCAAATTATATCCAGCAATACTTCATAATTTGTAAGCTTATTATATAGTTATTTTTATATTCACATTGATATAAACATTTGTCATTTTGTTGTACATGGGATAATTTTTATTCTTAGTTTAAGTAACTGGAAATAAATGAAAATTTATTTTAATATAAGAGTGAATTATGGAATTAACTTCAGAAAATGAAGTACTCTAAGTAGAAGACCTTAATACTGTATTTATTTTTGTGTATTCTTTTAAAACGGTTTTTAACTATACTGGATATAACGTAGTTTTACAGACACCCTACGAGTAATCTTAAATGTATGGAAAACAAAAGGATAAAAGAAAAATAAAACTATTTATTACATGAGAGATATATAGGTAAGTGACAGAATAAACAAAATATGCACAAGTTACCTTCAACACAAAGAAAACAATTCAATATCTAAGCTTCAGTGATAAAATGAGGTCATAGATAATCCATTAGGAATGAATGACTTAGAGAAGAGGCATTGCAGTGAAAATGCCAATTAGCAATCAAATCGAAATACAATAAAGTCAAATTAATTTAAACTTGTTCATTGGCTGCTAATGTGCCATCATTTTGTTTTCCTTCAAATTTCCCACTGAGCCTTCTATTTTCATCATGGACTAATTCTATGCCTGTGGCAGTTAATGAAATTCATAACCAGATTCACAGTATTTAGATTGGCAAAGAGAGGCTGGAATTCAGCAATGAAAATGAAGAACAATTTAATAAGAAATTCCAGTATTTTTTGTATTTACCAAATAGCGACTCATTTAACAAGTATAAAATAATCTATTAGTAACACAGTGGAGGAGGCTGACCATTTAATCAGTCAATAAACAGCAAACCACTGACAATTCTACAATCTTTCCTCCTATCTCCTTCCAGACCCCTCAATTCCAAAAATACATGCTATCTGAACCATAAGCCACAGAATGCCTTTAAAAATAAAAATTAAAAAAAAAAAACTATAAAGAAGAGTGAACACTGGACATGGTATATCCCACACAAGTTGATTTTGAGGAATAGTAACAGGAAGCACTTTTAAATACCTAGAGGCGGCTCCGGTGAGATACCAATGCTTTGCAGCAAAGCCTCTGTCTCTCTTCGTTTGCGATCCAGATCAGAGTCATCCTGAACAGGTTCTTTCTTCTGCTGCATATCAGCCTAGGAGTAGACGTCCGTAAGAAAAGTTAATAACATTACTAAACGTATGTTTTTCCTGGCTGAAACTAAAAATGATAAATGCATGGTAGTGAAGACAAGGTGAAAGCCCTAAATAGATATAATCACATGTATAAAGGATGAATAAACACCATAATTGCTCCATTTAATAATTACTGACCCAGCACTTTCTCTCTTGGTTGAAGGCTTTTTCCTGCTTCTATCACATGGGATGAAAGTTTCTCTCACAGGTTTGGAAGAGAAACCATCAAGGCAAAGTATTTCTGACTGGGGATACAATTAAAAAAAAAAAAAAAAAAAAACTGTCTTTTTTTTTTTTTTTAGACCTTCTTGTCTCTTCTGGGATATCAGTTTTTGATGACTGTGTGTTTGTAATATTCTGGCCCCATGTTTGAGATTGTGCAAACCAGGAATTGTTGGGATCGTGCTGAAAAGTAATACTATTTATTAAAATTTGTAACCATAAAACACACTATTTGTATTGGTAAGACAAGTTTGCCATATTTTAAAATAAACTGGGCTAAAATCTGTATTAAGGCATGTGATCGATATTGATATGCCTTGGTACTTGATTCTGATTTTCATAGGATTTCATTACATACACTAACTAGAAGAAGAAAATTATCACGTAGAAAATATAGTACAACAAATCATTTACAAGAAATTCCTTTCACAAATTCTGTCTAAAAACACATCATGTTTTTTATACTGGCCTCTTAAAATTAGTATCGTGTTTGTGTTTTTACAGGATAGTGACAAATTAAAATGCAGGTAAACAAGATCTGTGGTGGGATTCTGGGAAAAATTAAAAAATTCCACGTCTCTTCTCTCTTTCATAACACAGTTATTACTTAAGGTATGTGCCCCACATCTGAAACTTGATAACATCATGTTTGATGTGTAACTACCTCACAACAAATCTTTGTGGGCTTACAGAAGTGAGGCTGTCTTAAAGCCTGTCAAAAAGCATTTCGTTATGAGACACACCTTCTTCCCTATGGGAAGTTGGGTACCCTAACAAGTACATTACTTTCTTAAGGCATGCAGAATACATTTCAAAGCAGTGAAGCATTAGTTACATTGTAGTATCTATAAGCAGAAAAAAGTTTTGACTTACTCCCAGAGGGTGACCTACACACCAATTATA